TTGTGTGAACTTGGGCAAGTTGCTCAACCTTTCTGGGCCTCAGTTTCCTCATCTGTAAAACAAATAGGTTGGATGAAATCAGGCGTTCTTAACGTTTTGTGTGTCATGAACCCTGGTGAAGCCTAATGGGCTCTTTCCCAGAATAATGTTTTTAAATAACTGAAGGAAATGCTAAGAGCTCAGTGAAAAGAATGGTATTATTTATAATTATATATAATATCTATAATAATGATAATTATTAGTTTCCTCATTAAAGTTCATGGACCTCCTGAAATCTGTTGTGATCTGTTGGTCCCAGGTTAAGAACCCTAACCCTGGGAGGCGTTTTGGGACTGAAAAAGTTCTTGGAAATAATTTAGTTTAATTACTCTTATTTTATTTTTAGGCAATTGGGGTTAAGCGACTTGCCCAGGGTCACACAGCTAGGAAGTGTCAAATGTTTGGTCTGAGGCTGGATTTGAACTCAGGTCCTCCTGACTTCAGGGCTGGTGCTCTATCCACTGCGCCACCTAGCTGCCCCTAATTACTCTTATTTTAGACATGAGGAAACTGAGGCTCAGGGGAGTCTGAGGTCCCTTCCTGTTCTAAATCTCTCATTTAACCACTGTGGGCCTCAGTTTCCTCACCTGTAAACTGAAAGCAATATTACGGAGCTGCAGAAAAGCCAAAGGCAAAAATCAAAGACATACATCTGTAAGGCCTACTTTAAGTAACATTAGCCCATGGAAGCCAGTATGGTATAGTAGAAAGAGTATTAGAATGAGTCAGCAGACCTGGGCCCTTGTCCCTGTTCTCCTACCTACTGGCTGAGTCACCTAAGAAAGTCATTTGACTCCTCTGAGCCTCAGTTTCCTCATGTATAAAATAAGGGTAATTAGGCTAAATAATTTCTAAGAACCTTTTTTTGTTTGTTTGTTTGGGATTTTTGTTTGCTTTTTTGGCTAGGCAATGGAGTTAAGTGACTTGCCCGGGGTCACACAGCTAGAAAGTGTTATGTGTCTGAGGCCGGATTTGAACTCGGGTCCTCCTGAATCCGGGCTGGTGCTCTATCCACTGAGCCACCTAGCTGCTCCCTAAGAACCTTTTCAGTCCCAAAACACTGATTCCTTTTGATTGAGAGACAATAACATGCATATATGATACTCACAACCACTCGGGTATAGACTTCTTCAGCAACATCTTTATTGCTGAATTTGTTTTCTGTTGGAAACGTGTACTTTGTTAACCACTCCAGGAGAGGGAGATCCACATTACTTCCAGCAAACACATATTGTGGTGCATGGATGTGTGTATCGACCAGTCCAGGAATGAAGAATTCACTGGAAATTAAGATGAGAGAAAACAGGTTAGCTGCACACGAAGTTGTTTTCCTTATCCTTCTAGCTTCTCCTCCAACGATATCCTAACACCTATATATGTCACTGATTGATGACCCAGACAATCATGGAGGTGTGAAATCCTCTACATCATCATGGCCTCTATTGTTAGAAGGGCTGAGCTTAAAGTGGGGCTATGTACAAAGAAAGAATGTAAGGGAAGCAAAGAAGATATCCAAGAAAAGCAGTAAAAGAAAATCTGAGGAGAGATCACTTTTATTTGGGAGTGAGGGTGGAGGAGAATCAAGGAAGACTTCATGGAAGGGGGGGGGCACCTCACCTCAATGCTGGATTTCAACAGGTGGAGATGTGCAAGGAAAGTACCTGTGCATGAGGGATGCCCTATGCAAATGAATGGAGGTGTAAGAGAAACAGGGTGAGATGGGTAATAGCAAAGGAGTAACAGAACCCATGGATATAGTGCTTAAAATTTACAAAATGGTTTATGTACTTTATGTCCCATCATCCTCACCATAACTCTATACAACCCTATGAGGAAGGTAGCAGAAATACGATCTTATAAACAAAGACACTGAAGGTTAAGCAACTTAAATAGTAAATGATGGAGTGGGGATTCACATTTTGGGCTTCTGACTCCAAATCCAGACCCTTTGTTCACTTCCCCACTGCAATATACCACAGCTAACCAGCTTAATATAGCTGGAGTCAAGATTATATGAACAGGAGTAGTGTGAAATCGATGGAAAGGTAGATTACGGCCAGATTGCGGAGGGCTTTAAATGTCATGACTGTTGCTCAGTCCTCTGACTCTTTGTGACCCCATTTGAGGTTTTCTTGGCAGAGATGCTGGAGTGGTTTGACATTTCCTTTTCATTTTACAGATGAGGAAACTGAGGCACATGGGATTAAGTGACTTGCAGATGGGATTAAGTGACTTGCAGTGGATTACACAGCTAGTAAGTGTCTGAGGCAGGATTTGAACTCAGGTCCTCCTGACTCCAGGTCCAGAGTTCTATCCACTGTGCCACCTGGCTGCCTGAAATGTCGTGACTAGGAGTTTATATTTTATCCTGTTGGCAAAGAGCCACTGTTGAGAGGTTTTTGAGGATCAAGTGTGAAAGGATCAAGATCTCTCTTTTCACATCAAAACCCTGTACTGACTTACCAATACCAGTAGGATAAAGTAAAAAGCTCTCTAATCTCAATATTTTAAGGCCCTGAAGAATTTTACTCCACTCTTATTTCATAAATCTAGAGATGGTTCCAAAACCATCCAGTCTATCCCCCTCGTTTTACAAATGATGAAACTGAAGCTTCAGTGACTTGCCCAAGATCATACTAGCATTAAGCATCAGAATCAGGATTTGAACCCAGGGCTTCTAACTTCAGGGATAGTGTTCCTTCCACTGTATCAAACTGCCCCCCTATACCATGGGCTAGTCACTCTTTCTTATTCTCATTCTGTCCTCTCCCACCTCCTGGCCTCTCTGCAGGCTGTCCTTCATGAATAAAAAAATTCTCTCCTCTCCATGTCCACTTTTTGATAGTCTTCCCTTCTTTACAGGCCCAAACACAATGCCATTTCTTTCTCAAAACTTTCCTGATTTCCCTAGCAAAAGTAATCTCTTCCTTCTTGAACCATTCAAGATCATCCCCACTTCTCTGATGCAATTAAACATTTTCCAACTTCTATGATGGTCTTTTACGCACTTCACTCATCCCCTCCGCTAGACTGTGAGGTATGTAGGGGTTGGGCCAGTGTCATTTTTCACCTTTATCTTCCTAGCACAGCTGCTTAATAAATACATGTCGAATTGAACTGAAAACACGTGACATGATAAGATGCTACTTCACAAAGCCAACCACCTGAAGGTAACCAGCACAGTGCTGGGCATGCAGTATGCATCATTTGATCTATGACTTCATCAATGGAGGTTCTCCTGCCAACAGTATACACTACAAACCATCCATACCTTCATTTCTTTCTTTCTTTTTTTTTTTTTTGGCAATTGCGGTTAAATGACTTTCCCAGGGTCACACAGCTAGTAAGTAAGAACACCTTCATTTCTTACATGACTCTTGAACATATGCTTCCATGAATCCTCCACAGAGGGTCTGCCCAATAAGCTGAGGACCTTTCTCTTAAAACAGCACATGGGAGGTCTTTTATCCTTCCCTTCTGCTACATGACTGCCTCATTGCCTTTTCAGATCATCTCTTTGATGATACTTTTACATCATTTTGTGTATGCAATTCGTCACTAATAACATATGCAATACACACATTCACTTATATGTGTGACATTCTTACATGATCCCCATCATTCCCACTCTCCCCCACTGATGGCATGTGTATTTGTAAGAGAATGTGTCCAGTTTCTATTGGGACTTTTCCTGCCATTCTATTTCATTACAAATGTCTTTGAACTAAGTGTGTCTCTGGCTGACTAGAAAAAAACTAAACACATCAGTAAGAGCCATATGAGTTATGGTTTTGTGATATTACATATTCTGAAGCCAATAGCATTACTAGAAGAGTACTGGTATTAAAAAGGTGAGATTTTTCTTCTAAGGAAAAGCACTTCATAATTCCCCAATTGTAATCTAACTCATTCTTCTATTCAATTTTGGGCCCCATTCATTGTCCATCTCTAGTGTCCACCCTAATCGGACAACCCTAAGGGATCTCCATCAAAATACACAGCATTATTTGGACATAGGTGTTCTTTATTGGTTTGGTTTTTCCAGTGTGAAAAAAAACTAGAAGAGTGTTTAAATAAACTCTTTTGAGTGATTGTGGATTTCATTTAGGAGGTTCTGCAATGTTCTAGGGATTAGTAAAATTACCACATCACCTACAAAAAAGTATTTGGAGATTTTCACATTCTACAGAAAATCTCTCTTTCATTTGGGTTGAATATGTCTCCTCTTCTATATTTCACTTGATATTCATAGTCAGACGAACATCAAAATTAAAATAATTGGTGTACCAAAGGAAAGCTGGATGACATTAACATAAGCCCAGTAGATATTTTGTTGGAGGAGAGGCTTTAAGGGAGCATTTTGTCCTACTGAATCAAATACTTAATAGTCAAACAGTAAGCACACTGGGATTATGTACAAAGTGTACCTTTCAGTCAATTATGTGACTATAAAGATGTTTGTCTGCTCTGGTACAGAATACTACTTGAGAAAGCCTCCCTCTTTTCTTCTCATATTTTCACCAAGGGTGACCTCAATTTGTATGTAAATTTCTCTCAAAAATTTTATAAAGATCAGAAAATAAGTTATGAGCCAAAGTTCTTGATATTATTCTCTCAATCCCTTTTTTAAAAAAAAAAAGTTTATGATTTTTTCATCTTTTCCTATCTTCCCTTCTTTCAGAGAAGTTGAGAGTTACTGCCCTAAGTGCTACCCCACCCCCACCCCAATCATATTGCTTCCAGAAGAGATCTCTATATATGATCTGGTCCAGCTGCTCTTTCTTCTTTGTCTTGTTTATTGTGAGTTCTACTTCTCCACACAGCATGTCAAGGGCCATAATGACAAATGTGGTGTGGTAGCTCTACTGTCAGTGCATGATAAAAGGATTTGTTATAGAAATAGTGACAGATCTTTTCAATTCTTTTGCCTTTTGAATTTTATGGCTTCCTTTTGCTTTTATTCTTAAATGCTCTCAAGAGGATCTGGTTTAATGGGGTCTTACATTGAGCTTTCTGTACACTCACTTTCCCCTTTGCTGTCTCTGGCTGTTTTGTGAGGTGATACTTTTCATAATTTTCCACCACCCATCTTTGTAAAATTTTACAAATAAGTTTATAGTCTAAGTTGGTGTTGCACTTGGCTGCCATATCTATCTTCTTGGCAATGAGATGAAGTGTTTGTTGGCTGAGATGATGTCTAGGTTTTCTTGATATTCTTGTTGTACCCACTGCTTTACTTCAGTTAAATTTCTGTAGAAAATGGTAATAATCCACATGGATGTCTGTTCCTCCAGCCATTTCCTGACAGGGGCGCCCTGGACCCTGGCTTCCTAGGAAGGGTCGTGGTAGACCCCCGGCTGTAGGTTGCTGAGTTACGCTCAGCTGACGGTTACGGGGTGGCTCCGCCTCTAGGATAGAACAGGGGAGGGGCGCAGAGTCTCACGAGGCTCGGAGGGGTGGGCTCTTGTAAGTGTATATAACGGGCTAAGAGCAAGGGATCGGGGGAGTCCTCTGCAATAAAGATCTTACACCGCACTCGCGTCCTGTCTGGTCCTTGAGCCCATCTTTTCCCCAGGGTGGGTCCGGAGACGTCCGAAGCCTAGCTCCCAGGAAGAAGTACCTGAAGGATCCGGCCCGGGTCAATTTCCCATGTTTTTTCAGCAACAACAGCTTGCTTAAATAGGCCAGGTTTGAAATGTTTTGATTATATGCCACATCTTCTCATTTTTATTCTTTTTTTAAATTTGCTGTTGACTTTGATCTCAACTCTTAATATGTTGATGGTATGAGTTAGAGACAGATAATTCAGAAAGTACTCCTATATTTTTAACCAGTTATTTCCTGTCCATTAAGATTTGGTCAGTTTCAATTTTGTAAACTTACATGGATGCCTCAAGGGCCTGCCCTTCTTGAAGAAAATATTAATGATATGTAAGTTTGTGGCTGCTTTGAAGTCCACAAGCCTTTGGCCTCTCTTGTTTTTCAACCATATTTTCCAACATCTCTTTTATCCATCAACACTATGCCCACATTTCAGCTGAAGTGACCAAGTATCAAAGTATATGTTGACTTAATTTGGAGGGTCTTACTAAGCCCTTTTAGAATTTCTCTACTTCTTCATTTTCTGTAACTGATTACATAATTACATACTTAAGCTCTACTTAGATTACATAAGTTGTAATTCTCTTCATATCAATCTTTTTGTTTATTCTCATCATAAACATATGCAAGATGACTCAGTATTCTGTGAAATTATGTTCCTTTTTTTGCCTTTGGACATATAATAAAACCGACTCTAATAACTCATTTATTTGCCTCCCTAAGGAAAACCTGTGACTCATCCTTCCACTTAATATCAACCTCATTATGTCTTTTGGTTTCTGACAGGGACTCAGACATGGAGTCAGGAAGAATTGTGTTCAATTTCCCCTGTGTGTCCCTGAGAAAATCACTTCTTAATGCTCTGAGCAACTCTAGTGCCAACTTGCATTGAATATAAAAGGAATTTCTTCATTTGGGACCAGAAAGATTAATCTGGAAGGACTGTACAGGATGGACTGGAGAGAGCAGATTCTGAAAGATGGAACACCCAATGCAAAGCAGTTACATTTATAATATCAATGAAGTCACAGGTCCAGTCACTGCCACTGTCATTCTTTTAGTGAGAATGTCAATACTGCTATGATTCAGTTCTTCGAGCAGTCAGATGACTTGTTGGTCATTATCCAAGGATCTCACATTTAGAGTACAAACAGTGAAGTTCATGTTTATAGCTAGTCTATAAAGTGATGCTATTTAGCACCTTCTGCTCCCCTTTCAGCCAGTCTGCCACATGACTGGGGAAACAGAAGGTGGCTACATAAGACTGAGGGCCATTTTGTATTTTTCCTTGTTTCATGGGTTTCCAAAGATGAAAAAAAAAATCACTACCAAGAAGCCTGTCTATTTGTTATGAACCTTTCTATCCTTAATCAAGGCTGAATCCCAGAAAGCAGATACGATCTATTACTGAAGTAAAGCAGTGGGTACAACAAACCATTCTAGCACGTAGCAGAACCTGCCAGAGCTTGTGCTGCAAGCATCACCTTTGACAACTCAGGGTCCCCTCCGTACCATCATAAGACACTGGAATTGGACTTCTATGGAATGCACAAAGGAATCTAATAAATCATTATTGGCTTGAAATTGATTCAACAGCCTTAACGCAGACACAAAAAGCTTTTCCACATCATTATGGCAATTCACTTTTAATCTAATACTAACCCTAAACTTCTCCAAACAGATCTGCTTAACTGTGAGTATGCAGTCACATGTTCCCAGACATTCTAATGGAATAATCTAAGTTACCTGAGCTTGCACCTCAATAAAAGAAAAAAAGACTGAAAAATATTTATCAATTCAAAAATGTACTATTTGAAGGAAAGGGAAATATGGGGTTGACAGTTGTGAAACTCTAGCACAATGATTTTCTTTTAAAACATACCCTGCCATGAATGACAGAAATATGACATAGCTGATAATTCAACCAAAAAAAACTCTAGATTCAAAGTCTGTGTTTATCTGCAAATGTCTCAAAAAGGAAGTAATAAATGGTACCAAGAACAGTACTGAGAGTCATAAATACTTGAATTTTTCTGTGTAAGACTGAAAAGGTACTTACTTGCATCCCTCTGAATAAAGATGAAAAGTAACAGGTCCTGAATATCTAGGGTCTTAAATGCCAATCTTTATCACGCTGACAGTGGAAAGCCTTTGAAAGCTTTTCAACAGGGGTACAATATGATGGGAATGAAAGATTAATGTGGCAAGACTGTGCAGGATGAATTGAAGAAAGGAGAGTCTGAAATTTGGAAGACCCACTAGAAAACAGTTACATAAATCTAGATATGAATAGATATAGGCCTGAATTAGGATGTTAACTCAGTAGGAAAGGAAGAGAAGGGACAGATACTAGGGATATTTAGAAAATATCTCTTGGAAAGATAGGATTTTTTTCCATCTCATTTTCACTCTGTTCCACAAGTAAAATAAGGCCTAATAAATATATTCAACTTAATAAAGAAGAATCTTAGAATTTTATTGTACTGGCCAAGGAAGGAGGGTACTGGGGGGAGGGGAGTGAGTCAAAGACAAAACTTTTTAAAGTGTAAGTTACTGGAAGGATGATCATTGAAACAGGTGGTGAAGATGATTTAGGGAGTGTGGAGGAGATAAATAGTTAAGTTTAAGACATGGCTGGCATCTGAGATAGCCAGTTGGAAATATAGAAGTGGAGTTCAAGAAAGAAGCCTGGCAATTAGATATAGACTCAAGTATCACTGACTGACACAGGTGATTGCTGATGCCCCAGTTAGGTGGCAGTAGGAAAAGAACCAATGAAGATGGAAGAGGAGCAGTCAGAAAACAAGGAAATATAATAGGATGAAGGAGAATCCTAAAGCCTATGGGAGGGAGAGTTTCAAGAAGTAGGGAGCTCTTAACAGTACTGACTTCAGTGCAAGGGCTAAGAAAAAGCAACTGAATTCAAGCATTAGGAATTGCTGGTGATTTCTGGGGAAAGCAGTTTTGGTGCAGTGGAGCTGTGGGGCTCAGCCACTTCAGCCATTATCCAGGGAAGCCACTGTTGTGAGGGTCTGACCTGGCACCTGTTTCTGTAGGTACCATATAACTCCTGCCTCCGTGGCAACCACAGCTATTGAAAATCTGGAAAAGAAAGTCCTCATCACTAATGTCCTTGGCACTGTCAAATGGTTCCACGTCAGAAACACATATGGTTTTATCAGTGGAAATAACATCAAAGAAGATGAATCATCACCATTCTCTTTGCTGGTGCACACTAAGGACCATAGGGCTTTTCCAGCTGACTTGAGGCTGAAATCTCCCATATGAATGTATTGTCTCCCTTTGTTAGCCGGGACTTGTCTTGCTTTTCTATCTGTGTCCCCAGCACTTATCCCTGTAATCTGCACATAATAAGTACTAAATAAATGTTCTTTTCATTTATTCAATAAGGAGCAAGTGGGTGGTGTGGTTGTAAAGGCATCAAACAGATGTACTCACTAGGCTTTCCAATGAAAGAAAAAGAGGCATTGGATAGTTATTATAAGAACAGCAGGGTCAAATGAAAGTGCTTTGAAGTGTGCAGACAGTAGGGAAGCCAGTGAAGAAGTTCAAGATGCTAGAGATCAAAGCATAATTGAGGGAGCAATGTCCTTGAGGGGGACATACATGATGGGGTGCATCCCCAACATTATTGCAAATGCCACCTGCTACAAGACAGCAGATAGGTTAGCAAGCAGAAAGTACAGTCAAAATGCTTATTAATGTGAAGTTGAATAAATAGCATTCTGTTGACTTTGTATGTTCATATTTATTAACTTTATAATTTATATAGAGATATGTGTATATATTTATATATGTACTTCTATGTGTATGTGTAGATAGATAGATAGATAGATACATACATACATACATACATACACACACATATATACAATATGTACTTGTCTCTCCCATTAGATTATAAGATTTCTGTAAGCAGGGCAGGTCTTATTCTTGGTACTTGTAACCCCAGTGTCTGGCACATAGCAGGTGCTTAATAAATATGTCTTGACTGATTGACTTACATAAAGGTAGTCCAATTGGAAAGACCTTGTCTAATAACTCAAGAAATGGGCTTCTGGTATAAGGTGGGATGGCAACATGTAGAGTACATGTCTTTTCTATGTGGATCACCGTATACAAGACTCTGGGGCATGTGTGTGTTTGCAGTTTTCAGTGTCTGTCTGCCCATGAGGAGTAAAGCAACCTCCATGTTGGGAGATCGTATCAGGTTGAAGGTTTTTGTCAGGCTGTGTCTCATGTGTGCAGCAGACTGATGATGAGATGGCAGCAGGGAAATGCTGAGGGCACTGTATGATGGTAGAAGAGAAGAGAGAGAAATGAGGGCCTTTCCCTTCTCATTGCATGTCTGCTGTTTGTGGCTTGGCTTGTAAGTAGCTGAGTTTTCAACACAATCCTCCTTTCGTAAAATCAGAGCTCTAGAGCAGGAAGGGACCTTAGCAGCTGTCATCTAGTCCAACCCTATCATCAGACTGACAACCTGTAGCCCAGGGGTTGTGACTTACAAGCAAGTGGCAACACTGAGATTTGAACCTGGGTCCTGTGATTGCCGATTCAGCATTCCATTTATTAAGCTTCTACTCAATACTAGGCATTATGCCAGGTACTGGAAATTCAAATACGAAAAATGACCCCTTCTCTGCTCTGAGAGAGTGAATAGTAGGATTAAACACCTATACAAATAAGGGAGAACATGAAGGAGACTGCAAGTCATTCCTGAGAAAATCCTGAATTTATCAGGCTCTAAGTATCAGGCATTGAGCTAGGTGCCATAAATTTAAAGCTAAAACATGACATAATCTCCGCACTTAGGGAGTGGGCACCAACTGAAGGTGATTAAGTGTACTGCAAGGAAGAATGTGGATAAATTGCAAGTAATTCCTGAAGGGATCAAGAAAGCATAGGCACTTACCCTGAACTGTCACTGTTTTGGATAAGGAAAAAAAGCCACACTAATAAGCTTTTTAACTGCACTTTCTATTTGCTAAACTATCTACTGTCTTGCAGTAGCTGCCATTTGCAATACTGTTCGGGATGTATCCCATCATGTCTATCCCCCTTAAGGACTCTCAATTCTCTCAATTATGCTTTGATCCTTAGAATCTTGAACTTCTTCACCGGTTTCCCTTCTGTCTGCACTCCACAGGTATCTAAAGTCTGAAGGCACATACTATAAAAGGGTCAAAGACAGAGGGAAAGGACCCATACATACAAAAATATTTATACAGCGCTCTGTGAGGTAGCAAAGAAGTAGGTGTTCATTAATTGGGGAATGACTGAACAAATTATGGTAGATGAATGTAAAGGAATATTATCACAACCTAAGAAATGACAAATATGAAAAATTCTGAGAATCATGGGAAGGCTTACATGATGTGATGAAAAGTGAAATGAGCAGAACCAGGGATACCATTTACACAATGACTACAACAACGTAAAGGAAAACAACTCTGGTAGACTCCTGAACTCTAATCAAAGTAATGAGTGACTAATCAGGACTTCAGAAGACTGATGTTGAAGAAAATACAGAATAAAAAAAGGAGTTCAGAAAGGCACACGAATAGGGCAATTTTGTTACTACCTTGTTAAACTTATTAAAAACAAAGAAAAATTCACGGTTTCATAACAAAATACTCTTTTTGTTCTTTGTATATTGAAATATCCAAGCTTCTTGGAAAAGGTGAGGAACAGACTAGAACTGGGATTTCACTGATAACAAGGAACTCCCATTTGAGCCAACTCCTTCTGCCGATGTAGTCTGGAACAACTTAGAGACTTAGCATTAAGAGCTTAAATGATTTGTCAAGAGTCACATAGCCATGAGCAGCTAGTGGTGCAGTGGACAGAGGTCCAGCCTTGGAGTCGGGAGGATCTGAGTTCAAATCCAGCCTCAGACATTTGGTACTAGGTATGTGACTCTGGGGCAAGTCACTTAACCTCAATTGCCTCATTAAAAAAAAAAAAGTCCCAAAGCCAGTATGTCAGAAGCAAGACTTAAAGCCAGGTTTTTCTTGCTTCAAGACCAGCTTTCTGTCCATTAGACCAGAGATGTCAAACACAAATAGAAACCAATCCCTGCATGTTGACTTAGAAACCCACAAATTAATATTATATATGTTTTAATACATTTTCATTTATTTTGTTAAATATTTCCCAATTACAATTTAATCTTGTTCTGGCCACAGTCGGGAGTTTTGTGGTTGCTAGGAATCTGACATCTCTGCACTATATCACACTATCTTTCTAAAGGTACAAAAGAAGATATACAAACATATACATATATATGTATGTATATGTATATGTGTATGTATATATATATATGTATATATATATATGTATATATATATATGTATATATTAGATATGTATATATATATGTATATATATGTATATATTAGATATGTATATATATGTATATATATGTATATATGTATATATATATATATGTATATATATATGTATATATTAGATATGGCCAATGTGTCGACTTTTTGTTCCTTCTATTTGGGCGAGAAAGAGTTAGTGGATAGTAACAGAGATGCAAAAAAAAAAAAAATCAATAAAAGAATATGGGATTTACTCTCCCATATCCATATTCAGGGCCAATGGGAAGAGTTGGTGCACACCGAAAGTAATCTAGTAGGGAGGCACGTACATAAAAAAACCACTCATACCTGTGGCACTCTGGGACCCAACACCCTTTCTTTTCTTGTGGTCATGCTTCTCCCACTGAACATAGCAACTCCCCTGGGTAGGATGCTCAGCTGGGTTTAGTGCCTGTCTCTCAAGAGCTCAACTCCTGATGACCAGATATGGCTCTCTTCTCAGCTCACAAGCCCATTCATTCCTCAGGGCTCTCTTCTCCACTGACTATGCCCTACAGTGTGTATCTTGCTTTTCAAAGGGCTAACCAAAGCATGGCCACCAGAACCAATGGCTAGCCTCCCTCTAGTGCTGCTACTTGACAGAAGAACTTTTTCACATTT